ATGAGGTATAGCGCAATAACTAACGACTGGACACCACCACCTGGCCAGCTGGTTATACATACGAGCATGAGCCAGATCTGTAGCTCCAGAATAGAGCTAAGATTTTTCTGGACAACGACATCACAAGCCAAAAAGAAGAAAAAAAAAAAAAGATGCAGCTTACGAAGACGGCAATCAATGGGGGTTGGGAGTTCAAGCAGCGCAGCTCGCTGAACGACTCTGCGGCCTCCTCCTTTTTACCCGTGGCCCAATTTCCTACAGTGGCGCACATCGACCTCTTACATCATAAACTGATTTCTGATCCTTACATTGATGATCATGAGCTGGACTGTCTGTGGGTTAACGATGCGGATTGGACCTATCGTACCTCACAGGTGCCCCAGCCGGAATTTCAGGGGCCCCAGACGCGAGCTGTGTTGGTCTTTGAGGGCTTAGACACCGTTGTTGATGTGCTCTTGAACGATACATGTATTCTCAAAAGCCATAACATGCATGTGCAGCATAGAGTGGACGTAACGAAGCTACTGAAGGGATCGCAGGGGCCAAACTCGCTGGAATTGCGATTCTCCAACGCTCCGGAGTTTGCACGCCGAGAGAAGAGTCGCATTGGCTATAAAGGCAACGATACCGACGTTCACTTTGGTGGGCCAGAAAGGCTGTTCCTGCGAAAAGCACAGTATCACTGGGTAAGAGAATTTTTGAAACTCTCCACGGCCAAGGGCAATGTATAGCTGATTTGATTCCAGGGCTGGGACTGGGGTCCAGCTGTTAATACGTGTGGGCCATGGAAGCCAATCTATCTCGAGATATTTGAGCAGAGAATCGATGATTTCTTGGTTCGCCAAGAAACGGACTCAGATCTGAAGAGGGCAACACTCACAATCAAAGGAAGTGTTGAGAACTGCGATCAAAATCAAAAAGCTACTGTCGAGATTCAGGATCCTACTGGGTCTGTGGTACAAACAAGCTCTCTTGATATTTTGGAAGGGAAATTCAATACCAGTCTCGTCGTGGAGAACCCACAGCTCTGGTATCCGCATCAATACGGCGCACAGCCGCTGTATCAAGTCACTGTCAAGATACCAGACTACGACAGCAGGTCTCAAAGTATTGGTATCCGCCGACTGCGACTGCTTCAGCATAGCCTTAAACATGCGGAGGGCACTTCGTTTGTCTTCGAGGTCAACAACATCTGCTTGTTCGCTGGTGGTTCCTGCTGGATTCCCAACGACTTCATGCTTCCTAGGACGACTCGCCGGCGGTATGAGGATTGGTTGCAGCTTGCAAAGGACGGCAACCAGAGCATGATCCGGGTCTGGGGCGGCGGCATCGTGGAGTCGGACGATTTTTACGACATCTGCGACAGACTAGGGCTGCTCGTGTGGCAGGACTTCTTATTTGCGTGCGGCAACTATCCAGCATCTCAGGATTTCATGGACAATGTGAAGATGGAAGCTGAACAACAGCTTAGACGTGTTGGCCATCATGCCTCTCTCGCTCTGTGGGCGGGCAATAATGAGGACTACATGCTGGCGGAGAGATTTGGCTGGGAGCTCGACATGAAGGACGAAGTAGGCCCATGGCACGAGACCAATTTTCCTGCTCGTGAGATCTATGAAAGGCTGCTCCCTAGTCTCGTGGAGAAGCTGGGTGGCGATGTGCCCTACTGGAGAAGCAGCCCCTACGGAGGATCCTTTTCCAACGATACGACGGTGGGTGACACGCATATTTGGGACGGTATGTTTTCCCGTGCACATGTGGCATTTGGCTTGGAATACTGACGACTCTTTGTTTAGTCTGGCATGGTAAGCTCTCCCCTTACCAAGACTACAAGGCCTACACGTCTCGCTTCATCAGCGAGTTCGGATTTGAGTCTTGCCCTTCGCTGCGCACGCTTCATCGTGCCATCACCTCCCCCTCCGAGAGACACTCCCTGTCCCGCACCTTCGACATTCACGACAAGGGACCTGGTCACGGGAGGCGGTATCCCATGTACATGGGCGAGAACTTCAGGTTCCGCATGAACCCGCTGCGCGACTTCGTATACTGCACGCAGTACATGCAGGCCGAGGCGATGAAATACGCGTACAACTGCTGGCGACGGGAGTTTAGGGGCCCGGAGGAAGAGAACTGCGCTGGTGTACTAGTGTGGCAGCTCAACGACATCTGGCCGGGCTCAAGCTGGGCGCTGGTGGATGTGGATATGTACCGCAAGCCGGCGTACTACATCACCAAGAGGGCGCTGGCCAAGGCCGTCGTGGGAATGGAGCGGACGGTGACGAAGAAGCCGCCATATATCACGACGGGATACCTGCCGGAGAAGGCTTCAGCGGATGTTTGGGTCGTCAATGGCTCCTTGGAGGCGCTCAATGCCACGCTGAAGCTACGCATGTTTGACATTGTCACGGGATCACCTGTAGAGCTCCCCAATAGCAGCGGCAACCTCAAAGATGGCCACAAGTTGGAGCTGCCGCCGAACCAGACAACAGAAATAGGCAACATCGACATCCCCAACCCAGATCAGACCGTCTTCGCAGCCTATCTGGAAGATGGTCAAGGAACTGTTCTAGCACGCTGGGTCTCCTGGCCTGAGCCGCTTCGACTAGTCCAGCTCTCACGAGACCTGGCCGTCAAAATCTCTTATGAGGCTGGTGAAGATGGAACTGGCGACAAATTGCTTGTCAGTACGTCTGCGCCAGTAAAGGGAGTCATGCTGTCGGTACCCATGACTGAAGAAGGTGATGATGCCGTGTTCGAGGACAACTTCTTGGATCTGGTGCCCGGGGAGACGGTGCAGGTCCAGGTTCAGGGTCTCAAGGGCAGACCCGTCCAGTCTCGCTTTCTGTATGACTGGGAGTTGGAAGAGAACTTTGAGCTGTGAGAGTCCTCGCAGTTATCTACCTGTACATACCCATTCGGTATTAGTAGTCTGATTCACGTCAATGCCTAGAGAATGTAACAAAGCAAACGAAATACAATTCATGCAGCTTCTGGCTGAAACACAAAGAGTACCCGTCTCGTCATACGGTTGCATGTAGACGAATGGGCTTCAACCAGGCCACAATTATGTGGTTGCATCTCGAGTACGAGCATCAGCGCCAATTAACAGAGGTCAGATGCCTGCTGCATGTCTGTAAGGTACAGTAGTGGGAAATCGGGCTGCCTTTTTAATAGTTAGGTGACACCAAACTATTGGAAAATGCCCTATAATCGTTGGAAAATAGCCTACAACCGTTAATCAATCGCTATAACCCTTCTATAATTACAGGCCATTAGCCCTATAGCATCCGTATTAGGAACTTTGGAAATCAAATCGTTGAGAATGCTTAAACCGTTGAGGTTCCGCATTGGCCAATCAGAACGCAGGATTTGGCTTATAGTAGCTTTCAGCAGGCACGCGCTATAGCATACTCGTACAACGCTGCAACTCGCAGCACAACGCTATAGCTCGTGGCACTGAGCGTAATTAATAATTTAATTAACAAAACAAAAAGTAAGAACGACAGCGGTTCTTGCGATAGGTGGATGGTGTGGCGGTCTAAATGAATAAAATTGAGTGCATTTAACCAACTCCTTGTTTAATTCCCATTTTTTACGCACTTTTCCCATAATATTCTTTTAATTTCAGTATGCAATCAAGTGTATCATCCGCTAAATCCACTATAAGCTATAGTCGCTGGAATCCAGCTTTGTAATTGGCCTAGAGCTGTTGATCTTTACCCAATTAAGTAATAGAATGGTTGAGATTCCTGAAATCGTTGAAAGTCCTAAAATAGTTCAGTCTCAGCTGATGCATAGTTCTCAAGCAATGGTTACAGTGAGCTAAACCACTAAAAGAGCCCACTAATCCCCCGTATTGTATATACCAACACTCCATAGTGTTTACAGCTCTACAAGAGTTGAAATGTCAAAACTGCTTCGTACACATTACAGCTGAAGCATTGGGTCAGTGGTCTGGATCTTTGAAGAGACAAGTTATTGGTGCAGTCGCCCTAAAGGAACTATATAATTTCGCGAGCGTGTGCCACGTCCACATACGGTGTAGACCGGAATTTGAACTCTGGTCTAGCCAGCCCCATGGGGCCACACCTATACAAAGTATGTAGTTTGGAGAAGTCACCGTCCCACATCCCTGGAAGAAAACCGCCACATGTAACAATCGAATCTGGGGAAGAAAGGGAGCCAATCTGAGAGCAATGCTGCCTGCTCCTACATACATGGATCTTCTACTTATTTTGGAACAGATTCAAGCGAGTAATGATATAGCAGACCCAAACATTGTTGGCCACACAGGTCGTTTTCGGTTGTTGTTTTGCTCTATCCTGTCTGGCTGGCCTCTGCGGGGTGATGCCCCTGAGAAGAGGTTTCAAAGGACCCCGGACCAATGTTTCCTTGGTCGCTGGTGTAGCGTCTCGCTCCAACCCTAATCGGTAAAAGCACCTGGTTTTCCCAGCCTGGCTCTCACTAGGAGCTATCATCGCGTGGGCAAAGCTGGCTGCCAGAGAAAGATGAGCGGCCGGTGGCGCAAGCTGTGCTTTATAGAATTAATAGATCTATATCTAAAGTAATATTTCTTTGCGTGGATTCAAGTACTATACTCATCAACGTGTTAACCAATCTCGGGTTATAATCGTCTGTGACTAGCAGCGATGGTGGTTGATGCGGCCCAGTGACTTAGAGATTTTTTAACCTTGTAATTACTTGTCCGGGGTATTGGCTTCAACCTCGCATTCCCACACTCTACTTTTAACAATACTCCCCTCACAGCTTCGCCGGCCGCTGCAAACCGCAGGCCTACGCTGGAGCCAGGCCGTCATCATTTGATCGAGAGTGACCCTAGCCTAGCGCCCATGTTTGCAATTGACTGCAGCGTCGCATTCTCCGATTTCGCTGTTCATCCGCTGTTCATCAGTCCTCGCAACTCTCCTCCCTTGGCCTGTCACAGACTCGGTCAAACATCCCCGGCCAAGGCATGACTGCTCGTCACAATGGCGGGCTCTCCACCAAGACCCGGTGCATTTCACGCGTTCCAGGTCTTCGAGCCGAGTAACGAGGCCTTCGCTATCGCCAGCGATGTCCAGCCGGAAAACAGACACGCGCCCAAGAGGAGCCACATCCCCACCGCCTGCACAGAGTGTAAGAAGCGCAAGGTGTGAGTGATCTTTTCGTGTTCATTTTCCCATTTATGCATATAGTGTCTTTACCTGCTCCATGTTTGCTACGATTCCAGATGCTGACGGTGTCTCAATCTCTTTACCTGTCTGTAGCCGATGCGACGGCAATTATCCCTGCGGGCCATGCCTCTCATCCTCGGCGTCTTCGAGGGCACGTCGAAGACGATGCTACTACATCACGCCTCGACCACGCGTAATGCCCTCTAAGAGAGCCCTTGAAGATGCCTCTAGCTCTTTGGCTGACTGCCATTCTATACTTCGGCGACTATTTCCAATACACGACGTGCAGGAACTGCTCCCGCTGTCGAGAGAGGATCTCATCGCTCTGCTTCGCCTAGACCAACGCAGCGCGGCAGAGGCGCACAACGGCGCACGGCCGGAAGCGGTCCGAAACCCATCACCTCTAAATGATATCTACACGTCTCCAATGAGCGGCGAGTCTCCAAAGCCAAAGGCCAGGGCAGCTCGCTCACCACTGTCTGCTACGCCCTCGCAACCAGGCTCCTTAGCCGCAGCAAGTACAGCAGCTTCGTTGCAATCTAACGATGGCGGCTTGACAATCCTGGAGCCGGTTCCGACGCCTGACGCAGAATGGGACGAGGAGCGGCGCGAACGGGAGCAGGAGCATGTGCCGGCAGAGGCTGACGATGTCAACGCGCTCTCCTTTGCTCTGGACCGCCAGGTATCTTATTTGGGGATATCGTCTATACGAGCTGCTCTACTTGTCATGTTGAAGCTGCGCCCTTCACTAAGACAGGAGATGGCCTCCGATTCTGCGCCGGGTCTCCCGCGAAGACCTCTGGTGTACCTACCGATGCGAGGTGAAAGCGATGCCAGCAACAGTGATAGACGCTACAGCTCGACATCGGACTCTGTGCGGCCGCGTCGCCCATCCCAGACGCGGACACTGTCACAGCAACAACTTCCTAAGCCAGCGTTCTCCACGCGAGTGGCCTGGTCGCGTCGGGGCCAGGCGCTGGTGGACGCCTACTTTCGGACGTTCCACGTGTACATGCCCATGCTGGACGAGCCGGTCTTCCGAGCCGAGTTCGCCGGTGCGAAGAGCCGGGAAGACGAGCCCTGGCAAGCGTTGGCGAACATGGTCCTCGCTCTCGGCAGCGTCGCCGCAGCAAGGTCGGACGACCAGGAGGCAGAGCACGCCGCCTACTACGAGAGGGCCGTGTCTTTGCTGCCCCTAACTGCCCTTGGCAGCTCCCACATCGAGACAGTGCAGACCTTAGCGCTGATGGGCGGGGAGTATCTGCACTACGTGAACCGTCCTAACATGGCGTATGGTATTCTTGGAGCTGCGATCCGCATGGCCGGCGCCCTGGGACTACACAAGGAAATTCTGACGGCCCCTCCCCCGTCTTCTATCCCGGCAGCCTTGCAAAAGGCCCTGGAGACGCGACGTCGCACATGGTGGACTCTTTTCTGCGTAGATACGTGGGCCACCATGCTGACCGGGCGCCCGTCGTTTGGACGCTGGGAGTTGGCGACGAACATAGTAATCCCTGACGGGAGAGTGGCGGAGAATGGCTCTTATGTTCATAATGAGGTCGGCGACGATGGACGGAGAGTAGCTGAGGATGAATCAACAGAGGATGAAACAGACCAGACCAGCGATGCCGAGCTTCTGCGACAGCTTGCCGAAAGCGTCAAGTTTGCCAAGATTGCTACGCGAGTTCAGGACGCATTCGCCGTCTCGCCCATTATAGCCACGGCCCTGCGGCAAGACATCGACAGCCAGCTCGCTGCTTGGCACCTGTCGCAATCGTGGCCATCATCACGGACCAGAAGCCCCCAGAAAGCTAGCAGAGACAACGCGAGCTACCAGGACGCTGTGGGCGATGAGGCGCCGTGGCGCTTCACGCAGAGCCTCATGAAGTGGCGGTATCAGGACCTACGCATGCTACTGCACCGGCCGGTGCTTCTCTTCCTGGCGAACAGCGGATGTAGCGACTGGGAAGATTGCAGCCCTGACGATGCGGCCGCGGTAAAGATGTGTCTGGCGCTTGCAATTGCGACGGTGGAAGATGTCGAACGGGAGTGGACTCCCAGTCGAATAGCTGGATGGAAGGCTGCCTGGTATCTGCATCAGGCCTCGATGGTTCCTCTACTTATCCTCCTGTGGAACCCAAGAAACATGCCGAACGAGGCAGTCATGGAGCCTTGTCGTCGCGCAATTCCCATCGTCTTAAGCCTCCTTGAAGCCATGAAGCCGTGGTCTTTGACTGCCAACCGCAGCTGCGCCTTGATAGGCCGCGTCTTTGCAGCAGCTACACAAGGTGCCAAGGTGGACGTAACAGACGAGAATGATCCTGCTCGCAGCACATCTTTCATGTCCGGTGGCCCTGACGCCATATCTGCCACCAACAATAATGGCAATTCCGAACAACTACTTGACGATATTAACATGACGAGAGCAGTGGGTGGAGACATGGCACAGAGGACTGCCATGTTTGGCAGCGTACCGATGCAGCAGGGGCTGGACTTTAACTTTGGGCTCAACTTTGGGTTTCTGGGCTATGAACAAGACGCTGCGATGGGCGGCTCGATGAACATTGACTCTTTAGACATGCTCGACCCGTTCTGGGGGCAGAACACTATGTAACGCTTCAATGTACTATGTAACGCTTTAATGTGATCCACAACTCCCTTGTGTCTACTATACTAGAAGAAGAAAAGGTTGAAAATTTACAAATCCCACGCCGAGACTGTGAATGAAATCATTTCCATGAATGAATGAAGAGACAAGTAAAAGTTCAATTTAGCTACAACTCATGAACTACAACCGTTATGTTTGCACCCGACACCTATAGCTACATATCTTTAAAGCTCGAGAAGCAGCTGAAACCACTCCATGCTATTTTCGAGCCGGCCCTTGGCTGCCAACTATAAGCTACACTGAGTTGGAGTCGCCAGATGCATCGTGGGGAATGATTCGCTTCGTGCTCGCCTTACGAGGGCTGGAGGAGTCGAACACGGCATCCAGCTCCTCAAGCGTGCGACCCTTGGTCTCAACAAAGAAGAAGTAGATAAAGATGAACTCAAAGATGTCCCAGAAGACAAAGAATGCGTAGCTGCTGAAATTAGCCGCTGTGCGCCGTGGTCAAGGAGAAACTATGGTGAACTCCTAAGCTGGGGTAAAATGAGGGCGACTTACAACCAGTATGTGATGTTTTGCATAGCAAGAGGGGCTGCAAAGGTGTTTACAAATCCAGCACAGCCGGAGGTAATGGAGGATACCATAACGCCGTTGGCTCTCATGTCATCTGAATACGCGTCATTGTTAGCCAGTGATTATGAAGACTTTGCTAGGCGTAAGATGAAGTAGACAAATAGCGGTGCCATACTTGCTAAAATCTCGGGGGAATACACAGGCTGCATGGGAGTGTATCCCACGGCAAAGACGACGCCGAAAATGAAGATGAAGGCGATCATCGCAGAGCTAGCCTGGACATCGTGCGCGATCTGGTACCTAGCGGTTGCACCTGTGATGATTGCGAGGCAGATAACCATGCCTCCCGTCGAGAATAGGAACATCTTGCGTCGTCCAACCACATCGTGGCAGCGCGCTCCAATGCTCGCCGCAATCCATCCCGTCACAGCGTAGATGCCATTAAGGAGCTGGGCCATTGGGACAGAAGTGATGCCCACAGCCTTGATCATCGTGGGGAGATAGTAACTGGCGACGTTATTTCCAGAAAACTGCATGAACCAGGACCACGAAATGACTAGCAGCATCCGGTATCGCCTCGAGTGCGACTTGAATAGTGCCTTGATGTTGAAATAATCGCGGGCCGTACGGATGCCACCCCTGCTCAGGGACTCCTCGATCTCACGCATCTCTACAGCGACGATAGGGTGGTTGGGGTCACCGTTGGCATGATGCTTGACTAGGAATGCACGTGCTTCTTCGTGACGGCCCTTTGCAATGAGCCATCGTGGGCTTTCCGGGATGAACCAGCAGCCGAGGACGACAAGGCCAGGGCAGACGGCCTGCAGCCACAGGGACAGGCGCCACTTGATGTTGCCGTCGAGATGGAGGTTGCAACCGTATATGGCTTTTTTCTAAAATCAGCAAAGCATACTTGAGCTTACTTCCCTGATAAAGGTAGTAACTTACTAAAGGTGGCGATGATGCTGCCCATATAGTACAAGGTGTTGTATCCTCCTGCAACGGAACCACGAAGCAGCGGCGGAGCCACCTCTACGAGCAACAGCGGTGCTGCCGAGCTAGCCAAGGTTGAGAAGAAGCTGAGGAGGAATCGGGCGCCGATGAAGCTGCCTAGAGTTGGAGCGGTTGCCGTAAAGATGGCGCAGGCCACAACGCCAGCGCACCCGAAGATGACCATAAACTTCCGGCCGCGCCAATCGTTGCACCAGGTAAACAGAGCACCGATCATCTGACCAATGTTGAAGATTGAGAATACAAGGCCCGTGCCCGCTGAGCCATTCGGTCCGAGATGGTAGTAGTCCTGGTACTCGGGCATAATGTTGATCGAGCCCATGAGGGAGCCATCATAACCTTCGCACAGCTTGTTAGTCTTTCTATCTTTGTTGTCGAGACTTTTATCTCCTATTTTCATGGGTAACAAGACTCACCGTTCATAGTCGAGCACAAGTAGACAATGGCGCACACGAGGTAAAGCTGGACATGACCCCAGGCCCATGGATTCGGAACCGCGTGTGCCTCTTGCAGAGTCGCCGCAATGGCACATCCAGCGTCTGCGCCAGGCACATCTGACGCCTTGCGGTCCTCATACTCGTACGCTGTGGTGGTTTTGGTCTCCTCTGTGACCTCCATGACTGACAGGAACGAATAACTAAAGTCGAAGAGATGTTGCTACGATTCTTTCTTGATTAGCCCAATGCAATGCTGCGAGACGGCTGTCAGGGGACTCGTGAAGATGAAAGCATGATCTCGCTCTATAAGGAAGATGAATCTGCAACATAAGGCTTTGCTCCACGGCGACTAATGGGCTCCTCTCCAGGCCGTGCCGCCATCACCGCGTGTTTCTCCATACTACGTGTCTACCAGGGTAACAAGCCAGTGTCCACACCTTCTGGCCCCGCTAGCACGAAATGAACCACGGATTTGTCTTTTCCGTGATTCCATGCGTACCCGTGCTCCGATACAGACACGAAAACCGAACTAAAGCACCGCCAACCCGGATCCCAATTTCTGGGTCCGGGGAAGTGGCGTACATACTATATTCTGCCGGCTCTCGTGATTGAGTGATCCCCGCAGGCTGAAGATGCTATAGTGCACAACATGCGGTGGAAGTTTGACTACATGTACATTCCCCACGCCTCGTGCCATGGGGTAACGTTCTAGAGTGCCATTTTTTGCGCTCCGTACGGCGCGGGACGGACAGAACAGGTTCAACGGGACCCGCTCCTCAAGGGTCTGGGCCAGGCGACATGAGCGCCTTCCACAGAATCGCTAAACCAAAGAGTCCGACTCTTGTGTTGCATGGGAAGATGAAGGCCAGTAGATCTCCGCAGTGATTGTAAAACTTGAGTCTTGCCAATTCAATGAGTGGTCTCGCCGATTGAGCCTCGCTTGCTTACATTGGTTCACTACACCGATTCCCGAGCTCCCATGCAGTATTCTATGTCTTCACTCTACCTAGAGATGACGCCCTGAGGCTCGTGTTGTGTGAGGCTACGGAGAGCAGCTCTCGATTACCTTAGTGAAGCTTGGTGAACAACACGTCTTTTGTCTCGCACACACGAAGGGGGCGAATTTGTCCTCTGCAAAACAATAGGACTCTAGAAAGAATAGCTTAGTAGCGTTGATTAAGTTACTCAAACTTTTATAGCCATACTCTTTCAGCGTTGCTATCCTCTCCATCCGTACCCTGATATCATAACTCAAGAAATGTCAATCTCGATTTTCTTGTCCTGAGACCCCAGCCGACTCTTTCAGGTTCTCAATGTCGGCCCCTTTTACGTTTCTCGCAGACTCGGATGGATGAGAACATACAATCCACTCCGCACTTGTCGCCAAGCAGTCCGACACTTTAAATACTCTTGTAATGGGCAGATGAAAGAGGGAGCTGAAAAACGCGTCATGTGGAAGGATGTTGATGAAGATGCCTTTTTCCGTTTCGTACAGTATGTGTATACGGGATCCTGTACAAAAGCCAACAACTTTCCTTCAAAGAATCTTATCAAGTAAATGACTTCGATTATATAGGTCAGCATGTCTCAGTTCGACAAAGTTCGAAATGGTTGCCATAATGTTCCTGCTGAGAATAGTCCTAAGAAATTTCAACAGTAGGAGTGTTTGCACGATCGTAACTGCAGCTTTCGATCGTTGTTTGGTATGATTCAGCTACTCTGATTTGGAGCCATCCACTTGCATTTGACATTTCGAGACGATGTTGCGATAACGATAAAGGATATAAATACCAATATTGCCATTATACTCAGAAAAGGCAAAGGCTGGTTCGGTGATCAACTGGTTCGACTTGATCAATGTCAAGTTGAATGTTTAGTGAGGAATGGTGGGGCTACGGGTATAATTAAATGTCGACCTTCTTGACGCGGGGGTTTGTCACTCGGCTCATGCGTTTCTCTGCAGCTTGGTGTGTCCACGAAATTCTTCGATAGCCTTTGTTTAGCGGTGGCCAGCAGTGCCGAACACTGCGTCAAAGTTGTGACACTTCTATATCAATCTAAAGGAGATCCAGCTTTCTATATAAAAGCAAACTTTTACATTTTTAAGCTCAAACTGCATATAATATTTGCATTTATGTCCATAGAGTTAATTAATAATAAAGCTATGAATTGAAAATCTTAAAGATAGAAATAAAAGCTGCCAAGGCTTTGTGTAGATTAATACTTTTGCTCTGGAATTTTAGGATATTCTAAATAGAACGACGATTGTACTTTCTTCAATATAAAGAACCAGGCTGTTCATCCCCTTGCTCTGTCCTTAGGCCCTTAAGCCCAGATATGAGATATGGAAAGCCGCTAAAGCAAGAGATATCAGACCAATCTCCACCGTGATGATAAACGAAGGAAACAAGTCGATACTACTTAAGAACACGACGACTTTTCTCCATCCTAGATCTCAAGTATGGTATGGCAACCGAGGTATCCCCTATAGAAGAGGCTATCTTCTGTAGGGACCACCTGGGACAGGTAAATCAATTTAAGATTGTCCATGGCTGGTCATCGCGGATTGGATATATACGTGCTTAATTATTCCTCTATCACAGCCGAGTACTTAGGTGCTCTGTTGGCTGACCTTCCTCCTCGTTGCATCTTGTTGCTGGAAGATGTTGATGCTGCTAAGTCAACAATGTCTCGTCAATTGAATGCCACTCCGGGTAGTCCACCTAAAGCAATAAAATCCAGAGGCGGTCTATATTTGTCTGAGTTTCTCAGGGCTCTAGACGGTGTGTTATCGCAAGAAGGCCGAGTCCTCATTATGACTACAAATCATATGGCACGTTTGGATCCTGCATTATTACGACTTGGCCGTGCAGGCATCAAGGCCTTGCTTCCATCCGCCGAGGAAGATGTTATATCCCAGCCGCTGCGACAGGAGTATGTTTGTCTATATTGTCACTGCTTCATTTAAGGATCTTGCATTCTATCAATATACTCTAGTGTTTAGCTAAGTTCTCATAAATTCATAGTACTGAATGTGCGTAGCGCTACTAAATCTAATTTATAGCACTGAATTTGCGTAGCGCTACTCCAAAGGTTTACCTAGGGCTCTTAATATAGTGCTACCTATTCCATTCCACTTTCAGAGCAAGCTGATACAGAATTAACTAGTATGTATATTGGCGACTGAGATGAAGCGGCACCAGTATCGAATGGATAAGATGGTTAGTTGAAACAATGTAGACGATGCGCTGGAAGCTGACATGCTCCCTGAATGTCTTCGGTACTCGGGGTCACCACAACCGAGTTACTTAGAAGCCGGCACATACTTCTGCTCTACTGGCTCGAATGCCAAAAACCGAATCCGATTTTCGTGCTGAGGAGCGTAGTGCATCGCACCCAGCGGCCGCGTGTTGGGGCCGAACGCCAGAGCCAGGAGGCCCTGGTACTCACCCTTGGAATCGTACACCAACAAAGACAGCGGATCATTAGCCCGGATGGATCCAGATCTATCACCATCTCTGAACTCAAAGAACGTAGCGTCGCTGCCATAGCCACCGACGAGGATAGGGTACTCGTTTCCAAAGACGTTGAGTCTCTGGTATTTTAGCCAGCGGCCGTTGCGGCGGTTATAGAGCTTGTAGCGTTTGTTGAATTCAAGCTGAGGGACGAGAGGCATTGTAATTAGCAATTGGCTTAGTACTAGGGCTCTGAAATTATTAAGTTTAGAACGAAGCTTACCTGAGGAGCTTGGTCGAGTATAGTTTCGACTTCAATGTCAAATACATTATCGGTGCTTTGTACGCGAGTTTCACAGCCCTTGAATTCGTGATTTATGAGTCTTTGAATTTCCGTCGGGAGATTATTGTCGTCAATATCATCCACATGATTCCGGAAGTCGTTCTCTATAGAGAGTATCAGCATATCATCTCCTACCTCCTATATATACAGAACAGAGATTCTAGAGAATAGGGTGGCCCTTACTCAATTGACTTGCATGGTACAACGTCACGTATTCTGGCTGATCCTTGTCCTTTCTCTGCCAATGGGTGAGGCGTAATTTGAAGCTTACTGTTGCCATTCTTTTGGTTGAAATCGCAAGGTCGTCAAACTTCTTGCGCGTGGATTCGTATCCAGGTAGCTTGCTAATGAAGTCACCCATCGAAACTACATCTTCTTGCTTCATGAAAGGGTTAGAAAATTTCTGTACACAACCAACTCTTTAATATCCCTTGGAAATAGCTAACATACTTTAATGACCCTCCAGTTCTGGAAAGGGCTAACAGTAGGACACCATTCGGGAGGGCTAGGTGTAAAGAATGATTAAAATGAGGCTTCATGTTCCAAGTGAATAGGTTGCACTCACTTATTACAGAGGAGAGTATTACCTCCTTGGGCCTGCCAGGAGATCGAGCTTGACATATTCCTATTAGAACTGCCGCTCGCGGATCTTGACTGATCTTCCTTTCCAAAACTAGCAGAGCCGGCAACAAACGAAGAGGAAAAAGATGCGCTAGCAGCGATTTTCATTGCTTTCGTTGCATCTGCTTCAGATGCCGAGCCCAGTGTACTGAACTTCTCAGAAGAGAACAGTCGTCCGCCTAGTTCGATTCTAGTTGCAAAAAAATGGCCTGTGTGATTTTGTTCAGTATAGATATAAATAAGGAATAGCGGATGGGACATACCATATTTATGATGGAAATCGATCAATTTATCAACATCCTTTACATCATCAAGGTCTGACTTGCACTCAGCTGACAGTTCTAGAGAATGATGATCCAGATGGATGACAACCCTCGGAAACTGTGAAATCCCAAAATCAGTATCATAAATACCAATATCAGGAGGTCGCCTGCACGAACGTTATAGGTGATGTTCATGGTTTTCTCGTCAGCTGTCGCATTACTGCTCAAAGCATTGCTCTCCTGTTGAGAGAAGCCTGCGCTAACCGCAGCGTTAAATCCAAATGCTCCTCCTCCTCTGTCGTTTAGTGTGAGAATTAAAAGGCCAATAATGCTTCATCTGGGATAATTAACATACATAGAAGCTTGTGCTTCGATGGAAGAGAATGAACTGCGAGCCATAGAGGTGGAAACCGACGAGTGAGTTTCAAAAGTATCAACGTAAGAGTCATCATTAACAACAAAGCGAGGAATGTGAAATTCTTGCTAGAATCGATTTCAGTTTCCATGTATAAATCCGGTCTGGGGGTTAATAGAAAGCATACCTCGACTTTAACAGCTGCATCAGACATTTCGTGCGATTGGAATTTTCTGGGCTTGAGGATGAATGCTAAATCCAGGTTAGGAAGATGGTCATGTTGAGCAACTGGAGTAACAAAGCTTCTGGTGCCATACCACTATACGGAGCACGTTCAATTCGGCGAAACTTGAGCACTTCTTTTCCTTCGTTGTCTTGGCCATCTTTAGAGAAAACCAAACGATGAGCGCTGGTGAGGGCATTGTTTCGGATCACAACGTTCCATTCCTTCTCTGACATATCTGCGGGACTCCTGGCATCATGAAATCAGAGTTTTCTCGAGAAGATAATAACCAACCTGAGCACAAGCTAGAACTTACGTGGTGGCACCTCCCGTTTTCGCGACCCAGTTTGCTCGGTCAAAAGAGCTAGCAAGCTGATCTAGGGATGCTTTCAGAAGCTCCGGCTTATCCTGTTATGAGTTTGGAATCAGTCTCATGTTGCCGTTACTGATTGAGGGTTCGCCAGAGCTCTCTGGTAATTATAGATATCATACACTAAACTTTAAGTTCAGTTCTTTCTTGAGAAACTCCTTTGTTTCGTCCGTAAGGTCTGTTTTGTTAGATTTCGTTTTCAAATACACATTTCGGATTATGTCGGTATCTCCATCGCCCTTTGTTTCCTTGGAGTTAATGTATTAGCGCTTGAGAGGGTTATATGTGGAACGCTCGACAACAGAGATGACAAACCGATGAGCCTTCAGAGATAATTTTAAAATAGTCCGAAATGGATGTGCTATCATTGACCTGGGCTCCGGCGGGACTGCAAAACGAGCTTCCAACCCTGCAATAGGATCGCATCAATCGCCAGTTACACACAATCCAGGGTCTCGACATACTTGCCCGCCTCAATACCACCCTTTTCGATCAAGATCTTTCGCAGATCAGACAGTTTCTTCCCTGAGGAGTCGAATCCCTTCAGTGGGACACAGCTTGAGACTGAGGAAGAGTTGTTCTCGGAATCGTAAAGGTTTACGTCCACCCGAATATCTACGGCTGTCATCTTGGCGGGTTTTTTTAGGGCCAAAGAGTCCGTTGTAAAGAACCGAAAAGAGCCGAAGGAGGTAAATGATCGAAATAAGAATCAGACAGGTTAGACTTTACTGGAGGGCTTAAATAATGTGCGATGATGCCCAGACATTCTCCCAAGTAGGACGGCAAGGGCGATTTATATAAGGCAGCTTAATGTAGTCTTTACCCTTCCGGCGTTTACTTCAGAACGCTACAACATTTATTAAACTACCCCGCGGCGAGAACGTAGCGATCTGCGAATTTATTACGAATCCTAGTATAGCTTGGGACACGTCATATTACAGGTCACCCGCTGTGGGTATTTGCCAGCTACACAGTAATCCGATTCGATACAGTATAACTCAGCCCGACCCTAAGGGTCGAGACGTTTCTGAAATGGGACATTTATGCATAGGAGACATAGCTGGGCCGCTAAGCCAGCGATTTTGGATTTAACTGGCTGCGAGGTAAGCTGAACTACATAGGGAGAAGTGTATTAATTGGATTCTAATGGTACAACATAACTTTTACAGTTACAACAATGGGCCTACCTAGTAGGCGCTCGTGAATAAATATAAAACTGATATACCAATTGGCATTCATATAATAAAGTGAGTTTTATAATTAATATAAGTTAGCTATTTTAAAAAATAAATAAATAAACTTTTAGACTTTGGGGTTATATTAATAAATAGTTAAGTTAGTCAATAAAAATTTTATTATATAGTTAATAAAGTAATATTTATATTTATTTTAATTATAATATTCATAACTAGCTATTTAAAAACTTGAAATATTAAATTGAATTATATTACTAAAAAAATAAAATCTTTTATAAACTGGTTATAGCAGCCTGGATATACCACCAAACAAAACCTCAAATGTATGCCGGCCATTGATATTCATACTGATCACGTTAACTGGCAGTTTTGGAGGCCATGTACATAATATATAAGCCAGTTTTACTCAAAGTACCAAATTTTCATTGAAGACATAAAATGGACATACTCGAGTGGCCGTACTGGCGACGTAACCACCAATTCTTATTAAACAGCCATCTGGACTATAAGCACGTTCGTGAATGCTCCGTCTCGCTGAATGACGAGGACATCGCGCGGCTCATCACCTGGGACACCATCCCCGTATCCGTCACCGGAAACTGAAGTGTGGCTTTCACAGAGCCCGTCGGAGTACGTGCGCTCAGTACCCCGTAAGAACAAATCCCTCTTCCTCCTCATGCCATCTCGGGTAAGATCAAACTAGCTGTCATACTAAGACTCGCCATGTAGATGGAATTTCCCCGCCGCCATGATTACTCGGAAAATTGTCCCGGCTCTCGCCACAGGCTGTACCTCGTAGCAAAATTCCCAGGTGAGACACACACTTTACTGCTCTCGCTCTTGTCGCCCGCCGTGCAGAATTCCATTCCGGTGTCGTGAATATTGTGAGCTACCTCAAAAAATACGCGGACCGTCGGTGAAATCCTCACCACCGCTCCCGCGGTCAAGAAAGTATCCTTCACTGGCTCCACTGCCGTGACTAAGTAAACTCTTTATGAAACAGTCTTCTTCGACCCTCCAGAAGCTCTCCTTCGAGCTTATTGGCCGAGATATAATCCAGCGTCCGTTACAAGTTGGTGCATATATAGGCGAATGTAAAACCTTGTGCTGTTGCTAAATCTGCATGAGCTTGCCAAAATGCCAGAGCGCCTAGCAAGAGTTCTTGATACGCGCAAGTGAATAGGTTATCCATCGAGGCTCGGACCTGAAACAGTCCGAGAGATAGTGACGGGCGTGTGGTCGTATCCAGGATGCACAATAGTTCTTTTCATAACTGGCAAGGTTTGGATGTTTCTAGCAGCTGGAAAAGAGTAGTCACTTACTTCGAGACGTCCTATTATACCTGGTGAGTCTGCGGCCTTAAGATTGTGGCTCATCATCCTGTATATAGGGTGGTAAGCCATCGTAACTTGACTTTAGTTATCTGGATCTGTAGTTTGGCCATAGTGCATATTTAGGTCCGGTCGTGGCAGTTACATCTTGTGGAAATTAATTCTATATACCCATACCCGGAATATCACTTCTCGCATGCACGAGCAAATGTTATTATAGCTGATACTTGATAAGATACAATCTCATGATAACCTAAAAGTAGCGAGCACACTGAAATATCGATCAGGATCCTCGAGCCAGGGCATATGAGATGAATTGATAATAGTTACCCATTTTACCTTTGGGATCTCCGTAAAAGAAGGGCATATCCACGCTGTCGATGGTCTCATCAAATTCTCTATTTATAATCAACATCGGGATATGGACTATATGCAAACGTCCAACTGCCGAATAGTCTTTTAATGGACCAATCATTGTGAACTCGGAGGGCCCATTCCTGCACCAAGTTAGTGAATATTAATTCACACTCATATAGGAATTCACCACCAACATGGTAAAGTAGACCGTAGGGTTATTATGTAGGTTGAGTAAGTTCAACGACTGCATTAAATCCTCAGGCCACTCATCAAGGCGACAGACATGTCGTTTGTGGAAGACCAGTGCCGCTTTTTCAAATTCAGCATCGTCGTATGTCTTACTAGCCTTGTGTTTGAGAATCATATCCCGTGATTCTTGTGGTGGCTCGCTAATAAGCTTCCTGGCTGCTTCCCCAAAGAGAGCTTCCCGCTCGCGACTCCATTGGAAATAACATAGTGTTCCATTCCCTCTGGTTAACGTGAAGTTAGGTACTCGCTTCCTAAGATTGTGCCCTAGGATTGACCTAAAAAATCGTAGTTGTCTTCGATACTCAAAGCTTTAAGAAGATTATCAAGCTCTGCCATAAATAAATCAATAGTCCAGAAGTTTATGTCGCCTGTGATTTCTGGCAAGAGAGTAGAATTTCCGCAGCCGATTTGGTCATAAAGAATGACAAGAATGCCATAGTCGGCTGTTAAACGTGCGAACGGCTTCAAGTAGGCATGGCCATCGCCGGGACCGTCATGAGGACAGACAATCGGGCGCCGAAGCTTAGGGTCATCATAGATAATATAGAATGTTTTTACATGATTTTTTGATAGCATAGATGTACAAATCAACTTCGCCAGAAGAGACACAAGGCTGATGACTATCATAGGTTGTTGAAGGCGAAGGAAAAGTAATCTAGGGTTAGCTGTTCCAAGGATGCAACCAGGCAGTACTTGGTTTATGCTACGGTGGGGCCAGGTCGGTATGCAGGCAATCTTATCACGCCGCTGTAATATCAATAAAATGTTCTCAGGGTCTCGATTTTATTGTATGGTAAATGCTGTGATAACAGCTGGCTACCTAAACTATCTGCTAAATATAATAACCATTGGTTTTTATACTTAGTCGATTGGACTGGATCTATGAACATTTATTAGATTCATGGATGAATTTAGAGAAGTTTACTATAGGAACCCGGTTCGTCACATAATGGCTCTTTGCATCAATCCACTTCATTTATCAGAGGTCGGGTTATTTTAACTGCAATTTTAGCAGTCCTTTTCTACCATAATCCCTTCAATGCTACCGGGATTTGGAACAAGCTGGCTTGTGCTCATCGGACTACTGGACAACTGCAATCCAAGGGCCTAGAGAGGAGGTAAAACAACTTTGATGTTAAGTGAATTGGATACTCATAAACAAGCCATGTTTTTTTAGTTTCTATAGTAACAATCATGCCCCTGGGCGGTGATATGAAACCTAAAGAACAGTGTGTTATGATTGACATGGAGTATAGCTTAATTTTGGCAATCCATCCGCCTCTCCATCTACCCAACTCCAAATATTCAAATGAACTTTCCACACCTCATAGACTTGAATCCAACGCCCCAAGCCGAGGCACAATGGGCAGAACCATCATTGGTGCGCGTACCAATTGTATGGGTGGAACCATTGCAATCGCAGTTTGAATAAAGGGTGCATGCACAGCCATTCGCAAAGCTACAGTCGGCAATAAGGGCACTATTTGTGCCCGTGTAATCGTAGTTGTAGCAATTGTTATTGGTGAAAGGGTTGACAGCCGTTAAGTAATTTGCACAGCCGCCATCCGAATAATAATTGACTTGGATATTGCTGGCAGCAGCGAGAGCTGAGAAGAGCGCCCATGGCACGAGAGAGAAGTGCATTATGAAAGGAATAGCTTTGAAAGTCTTGATTGTAGAGTAGGTTGTGTTGTTGCAAGTGATGGTTACGAATTGTCACTTGGAAGGAAAATGCTTTATATAGTAGTTAGGAAGCTTAATTACAGTAGGAACCTAACCCTTTTCCAAGGAGAGAAAAGCCCCTACCAAGGAAATGAGACAAACCTCCCGCCTTGTGATAGTGTACTCTCGCCGTATCGTATCGACTTGTCGACATTTTCATGGTGCCTGCCTTATCAAGCTAGACATTTCAACAAGGGGATATATGGCGCATTTGCCCGACTTGAGTTGGGATGTTTGACTACTCAGAAACCCATCTACCGAGCTGGAACAAGAAATGAGGTGTCACGGCCCGGCTCTTATGGTCGCGACAATAGGCCTACCGGGTAGGCGCCCCCGGATAAAAGACGGTCCGTTAGACTAATTAGAAGCGGATTAAGAATTAACTTCTCGATTTAATACAGGATCGATAAATCGAAAAGCAATCCCTAAATAAATTAATAGAAATCCTTTCAATTTAGCCCAAACTAACTAAATATATAAGTTTATATTTTTATATTTATTTAAATAGCTTAAATAGTTAATTATAAATAATAATATTTAAATTAAATTTATTTAATACTTTTTATTAATTAATAATATTATTATATTATTTAAATATTTAACTTAACTTATTTACTAATATAAACTAAAATTTAGGTTTATTTTTTAAAAATCCTAACTTATATTAATATATAAGTTTATAGTTTATTATATATTTAAAACTTTTATTTAAATAGTTATTTTAAACTATTAAGTAATAATTAAATAAAGAATTAAATATTAACTTATAATATTTTAAATATTAAAACTAATTATAAAAGTAAAACTTAAAGTAAATATTTAAACAGTAATATTAAGTTTTAAAATTAACTTAATAAAAATAATAAAAATAATATAATAAAATTAATTATTATTAAACTTATAGTTATTATAAAAAACTTTAAAAAAACTATTAAAAAGTAAAAAAAAATTATTAATAATTATAAAAATAAAAACTTTATAAAAGTAAAGTAAAAAAAAAAAATTATAAAATTAAAGTATTTTAAAAAATTTAAAAAAAACCTTAAAGACTTTAAAAAATTCTTTATAATAATTTATATTTACTTTAAATATTTTTTAATAACCTTAAGTAAATCTAAAAAAGAAATAAAAATTTATTATATTAAATTTTAATTTAATAAAGCTGCTAAAGATTAATTTAAATTAATTTAAAAAAACTATTATAATATTAATAAAATTAATTAAAATAAATAAATTAAAAAGGTTTTTAAATTTTATAAAAGATTTAAAAACTAATTTATTATTTTTTTTAAAACTATTAATAAAAAAAAAACTAAAAATAAACTTACTATTATTAAATAAAAAAAAACACTTTTAAAATATACTATTGCTTTTATATAGTTTTTAAATAAAATTAATTAAATAAAAAAAAATATATATATATATATATATATTATTAAAACTTTAAACTAAAAGTTAAAAATAAATTATATATAAAAGATTAATTAAAAATATATACTAAATATACTTAAATAGTAATTAAAATTAATAATTAATAATATAAAAAGCATTAAAAAAAAAATAAAAAAAAAAAAATAAAAAAATATATATATTATTAATTATAAAGTTAAATAAAACTATATTATTAATAATAATAACAGTAAATTTAAAAAAATAAACTTTAATATTATTAATATTTATAAATTTATTAAAAATATAATTACTGTAGAAAAATAAATTATAAAAAACAAAATTACTAAAGTAAATATAATAAATTTAATATTCTATAAAAAATTATTAAAAAAATTAAAAAAATTAATAAAGTTTAAATTAATATTATTAAAACTATATTTTATAATTTTTTTAATTAAACTATTTATTATAATAATTAAT